TTCAGACACTTGAGGTGGACTCGTGACCTAACTTTCCCTGAGCGAGTTATCCTCAGAATCCTTCACAATCACTGCAAAGAAATGACAATTTCCAAAGCGATTCCGACCTATTTCCCCCTCCTGACCATAAAAAGAGCTTCAAGTGACCATCTCAGACTCATAGATCTAACTCTTGGCATATATAAAACTTTCAGTAAAGCGTTCCTCAAATGAAAGAACTCTGACTACGAMGATTATGAGCACCACCATCCTTGTGGTGCTCTGCCAAAGGGATGAYTTCAGGTATTTGTACAAGGAAAATCTATTAGTAAAATGTAGGTCTTCACAACTATGTTCCCCTGTACTCAGAAAATTTTCAATGTCTTAATGGCCTGAAAAGATACTGTGAAAATGTTAACAGCAGACTCACTATTTTATCTGAAAACCTGTGATTTTTGCAATCCAATCCATTAGTGAGGTCAACAAATTTCAAATATTTTCTTCAGGAAAGATGTTTTGATAATTAAAGCAGAGTTAAGCCCAGAAGTTCAATGAATTCAGATCCTCTTAAGTTTCAGACTATAATTCTGAACAACCTTTTGGTAATAATAAATATTGTATGTCCACTTACTTCAAACTTTTCCTTTTTTTATCAGCTATAAAGACAAATAAACRTAGTCTAATTTTAAATGCACTGCTGCATCTCTGCTGCTCCCATGAATTAGCAGAAGCCAAKGAATAAYTTTGCTCAAGAAATGCTCATAAATRTAAWTACATTTGTAAATAAGAGGCACAAGGTGTCTGTGTTAGACTTCAAGGGGAAGAAGAATCCTTMACTGGAGTGGAATCATCTACTACCCTACGATATGATTTGAGGATGYAAAGCCAAGGAATTTTAAACACCAACTCCTCTGCACATCTCAAAGCTTCAAATTCAGAGCTGCTCTGCCATCTTTAGGTAGGAACCACAGGGCTTGAAAACCATCAGCAGMTGCTGAAGAAAGCTCTCCCACTGCTGCCTTCCCCAGAAGGTGGAAGCCACYGTGATGCCTTGCTGGGAACAGCATCAGGAGAGAAACACTCCCAGTACCAGAGTGCTGCACTCCCAAGGGCAGATGCTGCRTTTGCAATGTCACCCTTGCACTGACAGCCCACACAGATTGTGAAAGTGCTAAGGACACCTGCCCACTGCATCCTCCAACACAAAGGTGGGGCTCACAGGGACACCAGGACTCCTCATCTGCCTGGTGACACCCACAGGGACACCAGGACTCCTCATCTGCCTGGTGACACCCACAGGGACACCAGGAACTCCTAACATGCCAGGTGACACCCACAGGGACACCAGTACTCCTCATCTGCCTGGTGACACCCACAGGGACACCAGGAACCCCTAACATGCCAGGTGACACCCACAGGGACACCAGGAACTCCTAACATGCCAGGTGACACCCACAGGGACACCAGGACTCCTCACCTGCCTGCTGACATCCTGCCAACCTTCTGCGGGCTGGTACACAAAACTGGGAAAACATTTAGATAGCATTTCTTTCAGGATGACCTAGATACCAATGCAGGTTTCATGCAATGGTTTTACAGCACAGTCTCTACGCCRAATACTCAGTAAAAATGACATTTACTTGGGTTCAATGTATGAAAATAGGCAGCCACAACACCAGACCTGGCAGAAAGCAACACCTGTCCATCCCACGTGACTCTGTAGGACAAACAGGGTCACTGGGTTTCAGCTCAGGTGAACTCACATTCTCACAGACAGGCAGCTGCAAGAATGCTGTATTTACGCATTATTTAATTTATTTTTAAGAGTACCACCAAAACACCACCACAATCATATTTATATGAAATAGAAATTAGAAAGAACCTCACAGTTCTCTGGATGAATCCACACACTATTGCTTTTAAGCTTCAAGAGTTTCTTTTTGTTATTTCAGTATGGGAAGGGGAAGGAAACGCACAGGATAAGGAAGTGTATTTTACTTGTTTATCGATCTACAGACAAAACAATTTTCAAGTTCCACAATTTCATCTGCACAGTCTTTGCAAAGCACAGCTGCATTTTAAAAAAGGGACACAATTTCACCTCTCTCTAAGGCTGAGGAGAACCACAGGTTATTTGAAACATCTACAAAAACTTTGTTACTGTAGCAAAATGGGTGGTTTCTAAATACAGACGTTCTATGACCGTCTGGGAATTTCAGTGCACAAATAATCTGAAAACCCACTACAGCAAACAGCATGTGCTCCCACTGTGCACACGAAAAATCTATACAGTAAACAAAKATCAGTGGCATATACACTCAATTTCAGCTTTGGTTATTGGATAAGCTAAACTCGTATTTATTTGTTTGCACACTGATTTAATGCTAACAAAAATTAGTGTAGATAAGGAATGAAATTGCCAGTAGTTAGAAACCTATAAGAACTACTTCAGAAGTGATTCAGTCTACCCTTCTATGATTGTTTAGGCCAAACCTGCAATAAGGAACTAAATAGAGATTTCAAGGCTTTTCAGACAAAATTGGGGAATTCAGAATTTAACTTCCAGACTCACCTTCGCTTCTAGGACCTTCTTCCGAGCTTTGAGCTCTGCTACAGCTCTGTCAATGTCTACCTGGGGAGCTTTCTCTTCCTTCAGCTTCCTTACCAGCTCTCCCTAGAAGGAGAAAAAGAACAATATAGATTCATTATTTGAATGCCACAGATGAGACCTCTCCTTCTTTCAGCTTCCCTGGCAATTCAAAGGGCTTTGTCCAGACTCCACACAGGTGTCCAGAGGCTGTAAGTGAGAAACACACTGGAGAGTTACCAGAAGAGGACTTCCTTAGGGAAAATTCAACCACCCCACCTGTTAAATTACAGACCTGCTATTAAATCTCAGTGTGCAAATATCCCCTTTAMGGACAGCAGATTGCCACAAATTCCTGGTTTCCGTCTTTGTGGATGCACTAAGTGGATTCACAGATGGTGAACACAGGCTTTATGCTTTCCTTCTCCTTCACCAAGGCTTTTCYTCTTTCCACCCCTTCCCTTTTCTTCAAAACTTATGACCATTTCAGACTTCTTTTCCTCTCTTCTATCTGATCAAAACTGGCCAGTGAGGACATAAATTTTCAGAAGGCCCTACAGAAGACAGGTATTTGCAGCCCAATATCTAAGCAAAGAAAGCATTGCATTTTATGTGAGAATTGTTATTGTTTTTAAAACCTGTTCAGTAACTTTGATAGAACAAAGTCAATWAAAAAAATAAAAATACCCTTGATAAAAAAAGACTCCAAAGCTTAAACATTTCAGAGCAGCAAAACCCTGCAGTGGGCTTAGAGGAAGTCTTGACCTGAGTCAAACCAGCATCACCTTGTTAAAATTCCACAAAGGTCTCTCTGYCCTGTGGTGGGGATGACTCTCCCCTTCCAGCCCAGGGAAGTGCTCAACCCCTACACACCCAACAGGGTTCTTTTCTGAACATGATCCYCAGCTGTCATCCCCAGCTTGGTCCTGGAGATAAAGCCTTCCTTTGAGTCCACTCTTGTTCACCAAAACCAAGATCTATCTTGAATTACTGAGAAGGACAAAGGTGCTGGACGAAAAAGCASAGAGATGTCAATGCCTCCCCAAGTGGGATGTTCTAAAAGTGGGATGCTTCAAGTTCAGGGTTTTTCTTGCACCTTGCACTTCTTCACTGTGCAGAAAGCAAAAAAAMCACACAAACCACAGAGATCACAACAAATTGTGGATCAAACATATTGTGGTATTTCCACAATACCAACTTTTCAGAAATTCTGAGATTCCCTGGCATTCACATTACAGATATCTGAGAAAGAAAAGAGAGAATACACAGATTGCCATTCTGTAATCAGATTAGGAAAGCCAAAAGTGCTTCAGAGACTGAGGGGTTCAAAGGCCCATTTTATTAATAAAAAAGGACTGCATTAAAACACACAAGCAGAGGAAAAATAAGAATCCTGTCAGGATTAACCCCATGGTCTACAAGAACAGAACAAAACTGCTGTTTCCTTCCTGTTAACTACTTATACCAAACTGTGAAAGTTTCACTCTGGGGCTGAGGACTCCCACTGCCATTCCTGGGTAACGTGGCAGAGGGAGGGATCTGATCTGGTGKTTTTTTTCTTTTTAAACTAGTAGGTCCAAATTGGCTTTGTTGAGCCAGGGGAGGGTCAGCAATGGAAARCCATCAAGGCAGCAGCAAAGCAGCTCCTGCTGACTCAATAAAGCCCTCACCCTATTCACTGCTGAGCATCCAAAAGCAGCACACAGCAACTCTTTGTCCTGACCTATAAGTAAGAGTGCTCAGACATACGCAAGGAGAAGAAAAAAMGAAAAAAAAACACAACTGAAGCAAATAATTACGCCTGCTGACAGGACTCAATCTAATTAAAGCTCCGAWCTCGAGCCCTGCCCAAGAGGAGGAGTGCACAGCAGCACTCGATGTGGCAAATTTTGCTGCAGCTTTGTCCCACAGACCAGCAAAGCAGGGAGGGATCCACCCCTGGATCACGGCAGCTTATTGCATCAGGCACTGCTGCAGGAAGATAGGCTGCTCCCTCTCCATAGGCTGAGTCCCTTAGGTTTAATTAAACCACTTCTCCTGGAGCTGCCAGACACAGCCCCCTGCATCCAGAGGTATCAGCTACCCYGATCTTTGTTATTCCCTCCCTTTCCTCCTGTGCAAACAGCCCCGGGAAKTACTACAGCCAGTTGTACAACACAGTATGTGTGGCCCCAGCTGCACAATTTTTTTTCCTTGGCACCCACGCACCAATTTCAACCCCTGAAAAGAAGGGGTGCATTGGTACTCAGAGGCAAATGACAGCACCCAGGATTTTAAACTAAATAAATTGGCTGGTTCTGGAGATCATYGCTTTATTTACAAGCAGCTCTCTTGCCAAGGCATTATGCTGTACAGTGATTCATAATAAAAACTCACTGAAGTGCTGGCATAATTAGAGGGCCATAAATCCACKCATTTAATGGGGAAACACACACACAAATCTGCGAATACAAGGGACACACGCATAGCTCTGCGTGCAGCTAAGGAGAATAATATGGATTCAGCCACTTAAAGGAGGCACATGGGGGACCCACGGGCACAGGTCTGGCAGGTGGAAAAGGGAGCAAGGGGAACTCCACAAGCTTCACTGCCAAGGATGCCAAGATTTATTTAGGAAACTTAAAAACAATCAAATTCTTCCCAGGTAAAGAGGATGATAAAGGTAAAAGGAGGGAGATGGGAAGAGAATGGGATGCAGCCCAAGCTAAAAGGACACARCACCTACCTACCTAAATGAGAATGATGAAATGGAAAATATGCAAAGGAATTGACATCCCTTACTGCATTAGGCAAATATGCAACTCCAAAGAACGTCATTTATCTCCGAAACCCGTCACAAACTCAGCTCTAAAGGAACATCACCGCGTGACCCCAAAGGGACGGAGACTACGGGGGCTGTTTAACACGGGMGACACGAGGAGGGGCCCCAAGGCAGGGCACAGGGAGCGCCAGCCCGGGCACAGCCAGCCCGGGAGGGGACACCCAGGTAGGTGACGCATAGAACCAGCCCTGCCAGGCAGCTCCGGCACCCCGGGGAGGGCAAAGAGCCACGGGGGGAAACCCACACGCGATACCCTCCCGCACCCTTCTGCCAGAGGGGCCACCCCGCACCCCGCTCCAGCGCTGGGCAGGGACGCCGGGGACACCGGGGGGACACTGGGGGGACACTGGGGGGACCCCGGGGGACCCTGCAGGCCCCGCAGCGCCCGGAGCCGGAGCCGCCGCAGCGCCCGGAGGGATGCGCCAAGACCCCTCCGCAGGGCAGCGAGCTCCTGGGGGAGCCCGGGGACACCTCCCACAGCCCGCCCGACCCCCGGGCGACACCCCCGGGTCCCCCCCGGCGGGGCGCGGGCCGGGCGCGTTACCTGCTGCCGCACCGCGATCCGGAGCGGCGCCAGCAGCGCCTCGGCCTGCGGGCCGTCCATGGCGGGGGGGGCGGCGGAGCGGAGCGGGCGGGCGAGGCGGCGCAGCAGGGCGGGCAGGACGCTACGGAGAAGCGGCATGAGGAGGAGGAGAAGGAGGAGGGGCGGGAGGAGCGGCGCCCGCCCCCCGCATGATGAAATCGCGGCCGGGGTAAAGCGCGGCCCGGCT